AATTGCTTTTGTTTGCCTCGTTTTTGATTATCGCATTTGTTTGCATATTTCGAATGTTGGCGAAACAGTTTCCTATTGTTCAATTAATTAAAGGAACATTAGCGTAACAGTATTGGTAAACGAATGCAAAAAAAAAACAAGTGTGGGAAAGTGTTTAGCTTTGTTTCGCTTCGCTGAAGCTCATAAATTAAAATTGCCAATTAAATGTTGAAAGGGAATATTAAAAAATATATAATAAATAAAAAAAATGGATTTATAATTGTGATATATTAACTTACTTCTTATATAAAAACTATACTGCGAAATCTGGCTAAAATTGTCATATATAAAGTGTTGTAAAATGTATAAGAATAATTATTTAATTAATAAGATATAATTTAAATTAAAAACTTCCTAATTAAGGCAGAAATTTAAATTAAAATTAAAAAGAAAAAAATATATAATAAAATGTTAATCAAAATCTTTCAAGCATAGGATGACTTTAATAAAAATTAAAATATTATTTCTATATATAAAGTCTTTATAAAATAAAAAAATATGAGCTTATTTTGATATCCCTTAACAAATCCTTTATTAAACTCTTAAATTAACTTAAATCTCTGCACAAGTCACAAAAATGGAAACCCAACAAAAATATATATATATATATATATGTATAAAATTTCACCTTACTCTTCGGATACGCATATAAATCTGTTATTATCATTGTGACACCAACAAATTATGATTGAGAATGTCCCCAATCTATGCGCTGGACCTGACCCCAAGGGCAGGGCCAAAATAAAGGCAAATGTTCTGTGACCCAAGCTCTCCGCCCAGCCTCGGCCGAAAGATGACAAGCGGCGATCCGTGATATGAAAATCAAGTTAAATAAATCATTTAAATGATTACAGCTTAACTTTTGGCGCTTTTAAGCGAAATTAAATGAAGGATCAGGGCAAAGGATGCTCTGGCTAGCTGCTGGTGCTACTGCTGGGACATATTCAAAACATAAAAATTATTTATTGGCAACGTTGTGGCAAGCGTCTTGAGCGGCATAGTGAAGAACAAAATGTAACCCAAATCTATGTAAGTGAATCAAGAGAAATCACTTAAGTATATTTTTATGCTGGACATGCTGTCAGGAATTACAAATACAACGCGACACGCAGGCACGCACGCACGCAGGCACCAACGCACCCACGCACCAGCAGGACGAAAAGGACAGACAAGCAGACAGACAGTTGTGGGTCGGGACTCGCTTGGTTGGTTTGCCCAGGAGGCTTTTCTGGCCTGGCCTGGCCTGCCTGGCCAAGGCAAGTTGTGCTAAAGAAGTGCCATCAAAAGGACATCAACACGTAGCAAATAAAGGACATGCCACAAGGATATGCGACATGGAGAATGCTGCCGCTGCTGCTGCGGCTGTTCCTTTTGCCATTCGCTACATTGCAAAATTATTATGATTTATATAGCCTTTGGGAATGCGCACAGCTCAGAGACTCGCAGGCCCAGACAAACACAAAGGACATGGCCAGCATAGGACTAGTCAGTGCGTATGTGTGTGTGTGTATGTATGTGTGCCACAATCGGCGTCGTCGTCGTTGTCGTCGTCGCATTGGCCGCAAAACTTTTGCCGCTGCGACAAAATAGAAAACTTTCTTGGCATAATTCTTTCTATTTGCCTCCTGCTGCTGCCTGCTGCCTGCCGCCTGTCGTCGAACTTTGCCTCGGGTCGGTTCGACTACTCGAAATTAGGTTAACACTGACGAATTAAGGACATTAGCGTCATAAAGAAATAAGTAATGAAAGCAGCAGTAGTAGCAGCAGCAGCAGCAGCAGCAACTTGCAACATCTTTTCTTTCTCTCTTTTTATTTTCTTGCTGAGTGCGTAAAGCGACAGCAACAACAACAAATTGTAGAAAATATTTTCCTTTTCGTTCTCTTTCAATGCGTTTGCTGCAGGCGTCGCATTTAGAAGGCGCTGCACGCAGTTGCTCTGCCAAGGATATACCATAGACATGATATGAATGTCCTTACTAAGTGATGTGGCGGGGGCGGGGGGGGGAGGTGGCTGTTTGAGTCCTATGTTGTCCTATTGACCCGCTCTGCTGTTTGCTGCTTGTGTATGGCCGCCAGCTGTAGTCGGACATGTGTTCATTTGCTTTTGATCTCGGCTGGAAAAAAAAAGAAGGCCAAAGAATAGATTAAAGAAAATGGATACTATAATGACTATTAGCTGCTATTGGCAGTCAAAAGAAAGAAGAATCTAAAAATTGAATAAGCTGGAAATGAACGACAACCATTTAAACAAATAGTTCAAGAGGAAGCTGGATTAACTTTCACAAAAATCAAAGCATTAAATATTTTTTGATGAATTATCGATTATTTGATGCTGTAAAAATTGTTAAAAATTTGTTCAATGATTTCTCAAAACATTTACTATTTTGCCTATCGTTAATTACTATTTTTTTTTTCAAATAGATCGATAGCTTGCAAGGATCGATAACTACTACCTTGACATATTTAATTCTGAATTTTGCAATAGATTTCTACTTAAATTTGGCTATCGCTAATACCGTGTATATACTATGAATAATTTTTGTAATGTTAACCGACTTTCTAGAAATCAATAAGTCACTTCACATATATCGATAATTATTCTGTATACAATAATAAAAATAGATTTATTTACTAAGACCTGAGTACATACAAATGCATTAACATCGATGAAATATGAAGTTGTACATGCCTATCGATAAGTCACTTCACGTGTATCGATAGTTCTGCTGTATTTATCGATAAGTTATAATTAGTCCAATAAGAGTTGAGCGCATACAAATATATAAATAAACGATAAACTATGAATTTCCAAATGGCTTTCGACATACCCCTATATATATTTCTGGTTATTCTGTATACATCGATAAAAGAATTTTCGAATTTTTCGATATGATCTGAGTGCATACATATTCGCATAGAATCGATAATAATACACCGATAAATCAAAAGCATAAGTAAATCAGATGAGATATGAAATGAAACTATCGAAAAGTCACTGCAAATCGATAGTTCTGCAATGCCTTACCTGTCTTAATTGTCTAGACTCCAAAAATGTCCTTAACAACTGACTTAATTGTTTGTTTGTAAGAACTTCAATTGCTGTTCATCAATCGCAACAGCTGCTTATAAAGTTTGTCTGTCACCTACCTGTTTGCGACAGCGTCAAACACGCCCCCCACGTCCACTGCCGCCCGGGAGCTATTGTCAGGCTGTGCCCACATGGCAGCTAATAAAATATTGATTTATAAAATAATGCCCGGCAAAAGCGTTCGTTGGGGCTGCCAGTGCCTGTCAATATTTTGCAAATTTGCCAGCAGGCTGGCAAGCTTATACGCAAATGCCGCCCCCAAACTCAGCCCCTGCGCCGCTCAGCGCGACCCCATGACCCCCTCGCAGTGCCCTGCACTAGCTGCCTAAGCGTAGCGCCCATTCTTGGTAGCTTTGGTAAGTGCTTTTTAAAATCCCGCCCGAGGCGCTTTGTTTGTCTGCAGCGGCAGCTGCTGCGCGGCATTGAACCAAGCGGTCTGCTGGCGGGCAGCGGGCTGCGGGGTGGATTGGTTGCGAGGGGCTGCTGCTTGGGGTAATAACAGTGAGGCTGGCGCTTAAGTAACCGCACAACTTTAAAATTGTTTGAAACCCGCCCCCTCCTTCAGAAAACCGAACTGCAAAGGGAATTCGGGGTTGTGGATTGTGGATAGGGGCTAGTGGGTGGTGGGCGTGGGTGTGGGTGTGGATAGGGGGCAGTGTTTGTTTCACTCAATAAAGCATCTTTGACGTATGTTTTCGTGCTGCTAGCCCCCTTCCCCCCATAAACCCGTTAGCTCGATAAAAATATGAAGGAAGAGCAAAGCCTGCCAGTGGCCGGAAGCTTTATGGCCGGCTCTCAAGTCCTGCGTCCGCTGTGTTTTGTGTCCTGTGTCCTGTGTCCTGTGTCCCATGTCCTCTCCGACGCGGGCGACTGTCTTTTACACTGTTTATTGATGTCTTTTGTTGTTGCTGTTCTTGCTGCTGCTACTGCTGCTGCTGTTGTAGACATTGCTGAAGTCTTTGCTGGCTTTTTATAGAATTTTCTTGGTTTTCAACAACAGTCGAGCAGTCGAGTGGGCGGCTAAATTGGGCGTTCGTTTGGCTTGGCTGGTGCAGCTGCTGCTTTTCTTAGTTTTCCAACATTGGGCCTGTGGTTAGCAGCATGTAAAATGGTTTTATGCTAAAATTTTACCAGAGAGTTTTTCGGCTGCTTTTTGGGCGAAAACTTTTGCGAGGCGTCTTTCGGCGCACAGCTAAAAACAAACGATGACTAAAATTAAGTAACTTATGTATTTCAAGATCGAAGAGAGCTCGACGAACAAAATAAGACCATTAAACCTGTAACTATCAACAGATACTGAGCGGCAATCAAAAGACTGATTATATGAAAACAATAAACAAATTTATAACGCGTTTTTATTGATGGAAAAAATAAATATTTCAAAATTGTCAATTTATTAAAATGAATAATCAATTAAATCTGAATATTTAAAATATAAGTCCATTAAATATTGAATTAATACAAATTTTGATTGACTACTTTTCATTTTTATATATTTTTTTATATATATATAGAAACAAATTCTTTCACACGTTTTTTTCTTTGGGATTAAATTTCATTTTTTTTAAATTAAATTAAATAGAATAATTGTTTTTTTTTTTTAAGTAAACCTTGACTTCTATAAATTATCATTTTTTTAGAATATTATTTCCTCTTCTGGAATATGTAAGATTACGTTCCAAACATTTATTACTTTAGGCTAAAATGTCTTTTGTTGTGGGAAAAGAAAAAATTCCTGCGAACAGTTACAGATATATTTTTACATTTGCAACTCCTGGAGGGAGTCGATTGCATATCAGAATGCAAATCTGTTTCTTAAATAATATGACAAGTTAAAATATCTGTAAACCCTTTAAATTTGGTAGTCTCAATATCTTTTGCAATTTCGAATCGAATCAATGTAATACTTTTTTTTTAATTTACCTACAATTCGCACTTAGAAATATTTCTTTACATTTTACTTTACTTTATTTTCAAATTCAAATTTTGTTCAATTTAATATTGGGTTCGCCAAGGCGAGCGACCACTGTACCTACACTGCATTCAGCCGTACCTTTCACATCCGCTCGGACAGGACACACTCGGGCACATTTCCTGCAGCCCGCAACAACCAACTGCTATTATGCCATACGATAAAAAGCCAACTAGAGGGAAAAAATAAAAAGAAACTAATAAAATATAAGAAAATAGGAAGCCAAAACGAGCGCATAAAAATTGCATTAAAATAGCCGTGCGGATATCCGCAATGGACTCCATTTTCGAGGTTTGTTGGATTTTTCCTCTTCTTTTTATTTGTTTTCTATTTGTTGTAACGGAAATGCAAAAGTAGCCGGAAGTGCAAGTCGTGCAAGAAACTTAACTTACCTGGTCCACCGCAGTTGAGGCCCAAAATTAAATGTTTCCGCAAAAAAAAAAAAAAACGACGACAAGAAAAGGAAATCATCAGAAAATACCAACAATTTTCTTGTCATTTGCCGTGTGGCATTTTGACAGTTTATTGCATACTTTTTGACACATGGCAGCAGCCAAACCCCTCCGCCCGTTCCGCCCTAAGGTGCCCTAGCTCCAGCGCCAGGCCTTGTTCAATTTGGCACATCATTTAGTCAGTCGAGCTCTTGTTGATTACCGTGCTTTGAATCCCCTCGCTGACTTTCTGGCCACTTGTCACCTCCGCTGACATTGACAGCCATTAATCAATCAAGTGGCATTGCCGAGTGTCCAGTGTTGTGAAGGCTGCGAGTGAAACGGGGAGGCATTTAGCAACACACACACACAGCGCGACAATTAGCGACAAGTTGTTGTTACTTTCATTGTTGTTGGCCTTGAAGTGTTTCGCATCTAATGAGATGAACGCCAGAAGTTTTCTGATGACAGTTTTTTTTGGCGGATATCCAGTGTTGGTTTATGCTTGCAGTGGCGTCTAGTTAATAACAGAAAAGGGATTCTCTTGAATATAATACTTGGCAAACAACAATGATAAGATCGACCAACTATGCTCAGCTCATGGAATATTAAACACTCTAAAAAATGCTTTATTTCCGAGCGATTCTTCGTGACAGCTTCATGACTGAGAAATTAGTTTACATAGAAGCGATAGCTCGGCTGTTGCTTCGGATCAAGAACATATATACTTTTTGGGGTTGAATATGTCTACTTCTATGCCTTACATATATCATGTCTAATTTTTAATAACATATGTTGCAATGTAGGTACGTATTGGCTGCTTTAAGCTCGGATCAGCGCATTGAGTACTCTTTATTACTCAATGCGATCAGCGTATCGGTGAGTGAGAACGAGAAGGAGTGAGAGAGAGTGGACATTGTGGATGACGTGTTTTGTTCTTGTGTGGACTGCTGTCTGCGACAGCTTCCACAGAGCGAGTATTGTGGATGGTATGTCGGTCGATGCTTGCGATCCCGTTATACTAGTTCAGCAGTCATTGAGTAATAAAGAGAAAGAGCAGGCGTTTGGATTAAAAGCTCTTTTACGAAATACTTCATGAGCCAAAACGAGCTTGCAAACACAAATTGCAAAATACAACACACCACAAATTCTGTCCTTGCTATCCCTTTTTTTTTTTGAGGCTACAGCACATGATCTTATCTTCTGCAACCTTCTAGCTCATTGTTTTAGTCATGTCTGTTTTTCTTCACTCGCTTTCAAATCGCAAGCGGTCCAGCAAAAGAAAATGGGGCTTCGTGCGCACTGTTATTGTTTACCAGGTGTTGGTGTTTGTTTTTGCTTTCTATAGTAGATGAGCTTTTTTTGGGTTTGATTTTGACCAACCCGATCTGTGTCTCTTGAATTTTAAAGCGGTAATAAAGCTCAGTGTCTCAGTTCATCTGTTTCTCTCTATTACTCAATGAGCACAGGCTATAAAATGGCGCGTACTAGAATTTGAGATCTTGCCGTCGGAGCGCGAGAGAGCGAATTCAACAGAGTTGAGAAAAGAGCTTATCTCGTATAACTGCTTCGCGAATTAGTATTTTTTCGTTTTTGTGGATAAGAAAGATTAAAAAAGTTTTAAGCAATGCATTTTATTAGATACTCTTTAATAGTTTAAATAGTATATCGATTTTATTAATTTAATTAAAATTCTTACGTAAACTGAACGAAAAACAGAGCTAATTTCATTGATTAGCTGGGCGAATCTTGAAATTACAAATTTTGTTAAAAGTTTTTATTTATTGGCTTGCATGACTCACGTGTTTCACATTTTTGCTTGCCACAAAATATCCCAACTCACTTTGCAAAACCTCAAGAGGAGCTGTGCAGGTGAAGTAGATGAAAGCCCACACCTCAATTTCTGCCCCCCGTTAAGCCACACGCCACTGAACCAAAACCGCACCACGCCCCCTGCGCCGCTTTGGCTTCATCAACGTCGCTTCATTAGCTGCGCTCGCTGCGAAAGGCCAATGCCAAAAGGTGTAAAACAAAAAGAGCCAAAAGAACAGCACAAAAGAGAAGAGATGCGAAAAAAAGCTGCTGCTCATAGACAAAGTACAAAACAAAAAAACGACAACAACAAAAGCAGACGTTCGACCAAGTTATACAAAAGAAAAAAGTTGCAAAAAGTAGTAATAACAGCAACAGCAACAGCAACAGCAACAACAACAGCAGCAGCAGCAGCAGCGGCTACTGTTACAGCAACAACAACACAAATGGTGAACAGAGCCAAGCTGCTGCTGCTGCTGCTGCCTGTGGCTGATTGATCTCGTGGGAAATTTTGCACAGTTGCAGCCAACAGCGGGCAACAACAACTGAAATAAAACCTCAACTTTTTTTTGTGCCTCCTAACATTTCCCTTCATCTTTCTCTAACTTGCTCTCTCGCTCTCCCTGCCTGGCTGCTCTATGCTTATTTCTTACGCTGCGTCTTCTTTCTTATGCTTCAGCTCGAAAATTAACTTAATGTCACTTACACTTTAGTGCTTTGGGTTAATTTGGTTAGATTATTGTTAATATCCTTTGGGGTGCTCTCTGTGCGCTGGCAGCCTCTCTATTAGTGTGCGTGCGTGCGTGCGCGTGCGTGTTTGTGTGTGTGTGTGTGTGTGTCAACTCTGGCTGCGTGCGCTCTTTCTGGCCTCTGGGCACATTAATCGGCTGCGGCTCTTGTAAACTTTTCGGCATGAAAATGATGCATTGCTTTTCTTATGACTTGGAAATTGTTTTTGTGTCGCCTCAGAGACATGTCACACACATGTGTATATCCAGCTCAATATTTCTCGCTTTTCTTTAAATAGAGAAAAAAGAAGAAATAATCTAAACATGAATAGGAGCTTCGTAGAAGAAGTCGCAGTTAAGTCGAAAAAACTTTGAATTAAGAAAACTATAAATTGTGTACTCTCCTTTCTTTCCTGTTTTAAAATGGAGAGTTCGCATTGACCAAAGAGAAATAATTTGAGGGGACCTAATTTTGAACTTTTCTTTAGGACATGTTATTGTCACTGTGTTGCAGTTTCTTTACCTTCTTAAAAATGAAAAATCAACAGGCTACAAAGTTCTTTTGAGCTCTCGCTAGAGCACAAAACATTCCTTCCAGCTTGCTTTGGTTTCTTTAAACTAACAAATCTCAAGACAAAGCCATTTCTGAAATCTCTATAAAACGCTGCAGTTGAATGTGACAGGCATGAGAAAAAAACAAACCAAAAAATAAGAATTGCCGTCCATCATAATTGGCCATTAGTCAAAATGGCTAAGAAGTCGGCAAGCAAAGCTAGCTGAATACAAATACTAATGCCAACAAGAAGGGCCATAGATCAAGGACGCGTAGACTTTTTATGTATTTACATAATGCAGACATTGCTACACCCTACCCTTAGCCACGCCCCTACCCCGCCTCCACGCCCTCAACGCTTTGGCAAACTGACTTTGCGGCTAATGCAGATGGCAGGCGAAGCGAAGCGTAAAATGCTTTGTAAATTATTATAGAGCAGCAAGTACCCAAACCAGGTGAGCTAATGGAGGTATGCGTATATAGAGGGTTGGGGGTGGACGGCATATACAAATAAGTATTTTTGCAGATAAACAAGCTGCCAGCACGACGGAGTATGTGCGTATGTGTGTGCAATAAATTTCAATTGACTTATAGACAATGAGGCGCGTGGGAGAAGTTTTCCATTTTGCGTCTAACATACTCTCCCTCGAGTTAACAGAGCCCATTTAAGGCATAAAACAAAACTTGAAAATGCACACACATGTGTTAAACTAATTTCAGAGTATGCCTGTCTCTCATTAAACCTTCAATTCCCACCAACAACACGGGCAATTCAAAATGCATATTTCATTTTGAGGTTTTGGCGCCGCGTCGACAATAAAAACAACATTTTTATGACACAGGCAAATCCAAGTACACACACCCACGTTTAAATTACGCTTTAATTTGTATGCAAGCGGTGGAGGTGGAAAATGGCCAAACACAGCGCCTCTCTCCGCGCTTCTCATGATTATATTAAGCATATTATAGCTGACTTCTAACTAAAGACATGTCAGAGTGTGTGTGTGTGTGTGCGTTAATCGAGAGGTGGAAAATTGGAAAAACATTTAACGCCTCTCTCTGCGCCTCTCATGATTATATTTTAGTCATATTAAAGCTGACTTCTAACGAAAGACGTGTTTGACAGAGTGTGTGTGTTTAAATAGGTGTTTGTGGGGAATAACTCTCCACTAATTTGACCATGTTGTTGTTTTCGCTGTTTAGCTACTTATAATTAAGAACCTCGACTCGTTATATTTAAATGCATAATTTGCAATTAATGGCAACTAATGAAAGCAACAATTTAACGAGAAAGTTCGCCTGTGTGCTGTACGTGTTAATGGGTTAAAGGTGCGTGCTTATATATGATTATCTAAATACCAACATCTTAGATAAGTGTTAAAGGCTGCTATGCTTACTGAACTATTTTTTATTCTATTTATTTTCATATTTACAAGGCAGTCTAAATTAACTAAGATATAGCAATAAAAAATCAATTTGTTTAAAGGCAATACAAGAATAGTAAACAATAATATTAAAATAAAAGCAAAAATAAATAAATAAGCATTAATTTATAACCACATTCGGTTAATCCTTTGATATAATAACATAAAATAACATTTCCTAAAAATGTGAAACCAACAGATAATATACGTTAAACTTTTAAAATAATTACCCATGGGGCCTCAACAAAAGGTCGTAATAATTTCCCAGTATTTCGTTTTGGGACAACTTCTGCATTTGACTGGTCGAAGTGTTAACAGTTTACACAATAATATTCTCAATGATTATTAAATGTTTTAATAAAAAACGTATTATAATTGTTCTTTTTGTTGTTTTTATTTTCAAATGATTTATCTAAATTTTTTGTTTTTGTTAAATTTTTAAAATACATTTATTTGTCGTACTCAATTGTAAAAATTTTACAAAATGCGTATTAATCCCGAGAATTCCGGGTGAGATTTGTTAATGCAATCATATATCAAATTTTCAACATTTTATTTTAAAATTTTCATATGTAATTGTAAATACCGTTCCAATTCTTATAATACAAGAATTACAATGTAACTGTTAACATTATAAAATGTTAATGTTAAAATATCCTTTATCTTAAGCGCTGTTCCTCTCTCTCTCTCTCATTACAGTGCGAAAACAAATGCCC